GCGCTCAGGCCCCCCCCGCCCCCTGTGGGCCAGTGCGACCCCCCCCCCCCCCCCCCCCCCCCCCCCCCCCCCCCGCCGCTCAGGGGCCCCCCCCCCCCCCCCCTTAGACTCAGCTGCGGAGGGCAGAGGAGTCCCAGCACTCGACCCTGCGGGAGGAGCTGAGGGAGCTGAAGGAGCAGCTGGAGGGAGCGTTCCAGGCCAGAGAGAGGGAGATCCGGGAGGAAGAGAAGCAGCAGCAGAAGGAGGTGAGCCTTGAAGGGCCCGGTCCCTCTCAGGACAGAGCTGTGTGTCTGTGGGGGCCCTTCTGCCAGCCCCCAGCCCTCCTTTGAGGCACGCGCCCTTTCTCCTCCCCCCCCCCCCAAAAAGATCCTGGAGCGGAGGGCCGCCCTGGAAGGAGCTGAGCTGAAAGAAGCCCTGGAAGAGGAGAGGAAAAGGGGCCGCCTGTTGCAAGCTGAAGTGAAGGAGCTCTCCGAGGTGGGTGCCCGCGCAGCCCTCTCCACGCCCTCCCACCGCTGGCAGAGGATGGCACGGAGACGGAGGGGGCTGGGGGGGGGGAGGCTTCTCCAGGATCTGGGGCGTTGTGACCTGGGACCAAAAGTAACCCAGGCTGTGGGGGGAATCTGAGCAAATACATGTTTTCTCAGGCAGCACTTCAGGTGCAGGGAAGAATACAGGGAGTCCTCGGCTCACGACCACAATTGAGCCCAAAATTTATGTTGCTAAATGAGAAATTTGTGAGTTTTGTCCCATTTTGTGACCTTTCTTGCCACATTTGTTAAGTGGATCACTGCAGTTGTTAAATTAAAGACACCGTCACACAGCGGTCATAAGTGTGGAAAACTGCACTCTTTTCACTGCTGTTGTAACTTTGAACAGTGTAAGTGCAACTTCCGACGAACTGCTGTAACTGCCTGCCTTGCCTTCCTCTTCTTGCAGACAGTGTGTGTGTGTGTGTGCGTGTGTGTGTGGAGGGGGGGAGGGAAAGCAGGCTTGTTCCCAGCAGTCCTCCAGGTGCAGTTCCTTCCTCAGTGGCCGTCAGTGCCTGCCTTCCTTGCGGCTGCCCTGCAGGGCCCTGAAGTGGCCAAAGGCAGCTGCCGGCCACCAGCACGGGGCAAATGGCCGCACGACCTTTTCCTTGGCTGGCGCCCTTGGCTGGACCTCCGTGGCCTGCCCTTCCCTTCCCGTCTTGGGTGTGCTGTGGGCCTGGCCCCTTCCCCGTCCACCTGTCTTTCCCCTGCCTGCCGTGTAGGCCATGGAAGGGAGGAGGGACCTGGAGAGGACGTTAAACGCCAGGGTGAAGGAGAGTCTGGGGTCTCTGGAAGATGCGAAGAGGGGAAAGGTAATCGGGGTGGGGGGGGGCGGCCTCCTCCGGGGCAGCTTCGGAGGGAGGGCAGGCCACGCCCAGTGGTGCCCCTCTGCCTCTTCCCTTTGCCAGGCGATGGCGGAAGAGAAGCTGTCGGTCTGGGAGAGGCGGCTGCAGGGCCTGGAGGCTGAGGCCGAGTCGCTGAGGCAGAAGCACCAGCGGGAGATCTCGGAGTACCAGGAGCAGGTCAAGCAGCACGCCAGGACCATCGTGGAGCTGGAGAAGAGGCTGCCCAGCGCTGCCCAGCAGGTGGAGGAGGAAGGCGCTGCCCGGCCAAGAGGTCAGTGCAGAGCCCGGTCTCCCCAGGCCTCCCCAGGGTCCCCCTTGGCGGGAGGGGCTGTGTGTCTCCTTTGAGGACGCTACCGAACAGCCCCGAGGGAAACGTGGGCAGCCA